GAAAACCTCAGACCCATCTCCCTGCTCCCATTTACATCTAAACTCCTCGAGCTCCTAGTCTACACCCGCCTATGCTCTCACCTCAACGACAACAACCTCCTCGATCCCCTACAGTCCGGCTTCCGTCCCCTACACTCCACCGAAACTGCCTTACTCAAACTCTCCAACGACCTGCTAGCCGCCAAAGCTAATGGCCACTATTCAGTGCTCCTACTCCTTGACCTCTCTGCGGCCTTCGACACAGTCGACCACCCCCTCCTCCTCAAAAAACTACACTCCCTCGGCCTCAGAGATTCTGCTCTCTCCTGGCTCTCATCCTACCTGTCACAACGCTCCTTCAGCGTTACCTATAATGCTACCACCTCCCCCTCACTCCCCCTCTCTGTTGGGGTCCCTCAAGGCTCTGTCCTCGGGCCCCTTCTCTTCTCCATCTATACCTCCTCCCTTGGCCAACTCATACACTCTCACGGCTTCAACTACCACCTCTATGCCGACGACACACAAATCTATCTCTCAACCCCCCACCTCACCCCCTTGGTCTCAGCCCGAATCACACACCTACTGAGCGACATATCAGACTGGATGTCGCTCCACTTCCTTAAATTGAACCTCTCCAAAACCGAGTTTCTTGTCTTCCCCCCAGCCCGGACACCACCCCCCATTGATTTCTCCATCACATCCAACAACGCTACCATCAAACCCGCCCCGCAGGCCAGAGTACTGGGTGTCATTCTGGACTCCAACCTATCCTTCCAGCCCCAAGTCCAATCTTTAACAAACTCGTGCAGACTCCACCTCCGCAACATCGCCAAAATCCGCACGTTCCTTAAACAGCTCATCCACTCCCTCATCATATCACGACTCGACTACTGCAACTCCCTCCTCACTGGCCTGCCTCGCCGCTGGCTATCCCCTCTTCAGTCCATCCTGAACACGGCTGCCAGAATCATTCACCTTTCCAACCGCTCTGTCTCCGCCACCCCCCTCTGCCAATCCCTCCACTGGCTTCCGATTGCGCAACGGATCAAATTCAAAATCCTACGCTGACGTACAAAGCTGTCCACCATACTGCCCCGTACTACATCTCTGACCTAATATCCAAGTACCGCCCAACACGCACACTCCGCTCTCACAAGACCTCCTTCTCTCTAGTTCCCTGTCTCCTCCTCCCATGCCCGCCTCCAGGACTTCTCCAGGGTGTCACCCATCCTCTGGAACTCCCTGCCCCAACCCATCAGATTATCACCTACTCTCCTCTCCTTTAGGCGCACCCTGAAAACCCATCTCTTCAGGGAAGCCTACCCCACCCCCTGCTAACTTGCCGACCTCCTCCACTCTTCCAACCACTCCATCCCCCACAGCTATCTCCTCCTGTGCCACCACCCCCTCCCTCCTAGATTGTAAGCTCGAAAGAGCAGGGCCCTCGATCCCCTCATGTTTTGCATTGTATTGGTATTGTTCTGTCACATGTTCTGTCTCCCTTTGTAATGTACAGCGCTGAGCGAACTATTGGCGCTTTATAAATACTGTATAATAATAATAATAATAAATCGGGTCTTATAATGTTTGTCTAAAAAAACATTGTTTATTTTTGCTTGTAAAGGGGGCCGGCAATGCTTCGTTTGCCTTTCAAGCTCTGTACATGTCAGTACATGTCACTCCCAGTTAAGAGATTTTTCTGGTGATATTAAATAATGCATTTTACCATCCAAGCAGATAAATAATTAAAAGTCTCAAATAGCCCACTGATCAGTATGTTTTATAACAGCTGTATGAGCACTGATCATTGAGGAGCCCACACACCATGTGCAGCCTCTGAACTGGAATATTGTATGTTTCAGGTGACTTGATTTTTATCCCAGATGCATTACCTTACATTTATTTAGATTTTCTTTTTTTTTTTAGTTTTCTTTTTGTAGATTGTAAACACTTAAAATGTACAGTATATAAACCCTAACTATGAACTTGTCTTATTTGCTCTGTAAAATATACTATTGAAAGCATGCTGTTGTCTGTTCAGAAAGTTAAAAATTGTTGATCCTGCCAGAAATCCAGTGCTGTCCTGTGCAGTCTTATTGCATACAATATTTTCAGTTTTGTGATAGGACTAAAGAACATCTCCTCCTATATTTCCTGTTTTGTGGTGACAATGCTGCTTCTCTATAGAGTACTCTAAGTGAATGCTGGCACCCTAGAACAAGGAGTGTTACTGGCAGAATCACAAATTGAACATTAAGGCTCCATGCACACAGGGCATTTGCCCAGCTCTCCTAAATGCCTTTTACATGCGTCATTTTTTTTTTTTTTTTGACCAAAACACTGCTGCCAGGAGGAAACGCATCAAGATGCATTTAGGTGCATCAAGTGCATGGGCTTTCATTTCATTGGCCAGAATAGTAAACCGCTGCTGGCTTCCTCACTCCAAGATAAGCCATGAAGGAGCTGCTGACTGCTACCCCTCCCTCCTCCATAGTCATACACATCCATGTTTTGACCAAAGCAAATTTGATTTATTTTATATAAAGGTCTTTCATACAAATTAGATTCTAATGGGCAGTTTGGGTCCATACATCTGGCTGACATTTGAGTCTATGGATCATCTGGTGGCTCTAAAAATCCTATTATGTATGTAGGAAAATTGGACAGTATGGGGTCCACCATTTGGAAACCAATGTTGCCGTGTAAATCTAAGATCCTGAGTTGAATTCGGACTAACTCTATTAGGACTGTGTTTATGTGAGTTTTATCTGGGTTTTCTGATTAAGGCTCCATGCACACTGGCTTGAAGAAAAGCTGCTCTTAGGAGAATTTAGTATTTTGCCAGAAGAAACTAATGTTATCCTATTTGTCCATGCACATTAGGCAAAAAAACCCTTCTGTTTTTGCATTTTCGAAAGTATGTTTTTTTTTTTTTTTTTTTTTTTTTTTTTTTAACTAGTGTGCATGGAGCCTAAAAGCCAGGTTAACCTATTAATTTGCTTTTGGATTGTGGACAAAAAAAGTATGTTTTATGTGCTTGGTTCACTATTGATTTTTCACAATATTACAATATAATACTTTGTAAAGTGCAGTAAACAGAACCTATAAAAAGGATCTGTTGGAAAATTGGGCAGTAGATACATAACACAGGTATAGGGGAGGGGGGATAATAAATATCTGTAAGTGTCAGGCTCAAACACTATGTAGGCAGTTAACTTGACCAGCTCTTTTTGAGGTCAGGTCCATTTTAAAGTTCACCTTTTTAAGGCAAAAAAAGTATTATTTTTGGTTCACCTGTAAAGCATTGCAAAAAAGATTGTGGTGCCATGCAGGTCTCCTGCAGACCTTCATTATTCTGCTTCCATATGGGATGTCCTGTAAAGCTGTTTTTAAAAAAATGAAAGCTAGTAATCATGAGATTGCTGGGGGGGGGGGATGCAGCACCGGGAACATGTTGAGGGTGGAACATGTAACATGTTACCAAAGGTGAACTTATCCTTTTAACAATTGGTGAAATAAAAATGGCTCATTCAACAGAAGGGTGGTTTAAAAAGTATTAAAAACAAATAATAATCAGATGCAAAATACCACTTCTTTTTTTTTTCCTTTTTAGGTGTGGGTAGGCCTTGACTATCATCCATGTGCATTTATTTTACAATGTGCAAACAATGTACTCAAAATCTGCATTGAAAATGTAAAATTCTTATTTTGCCTACAGTGAGGCTATTTAGTTCTCATGCCCATGAGAGGTACAGAAATAGAATGTTACAAAATGTTTTCTTCATACATAAATAAAATATCTGCACACACATGCAAAACTGGAACAGTTGAAACAATTTGCCAGAATGACAAACCTCAATACAAACATACAAGTTGCTTAGAGGTGAAATGATTCTCTAAGGATAGCATCTTGTATTTGATTTTTCTTTCCATGTAGTGTGGTGAGATTTTCCTTTTTTATTGAAATAAATCATTTTTTTTCCCAAAGCAGAGTTTATTTTTTTTCAATTGCTCTGAACTGGGGTATAATTTCAGGGGACAAGAAGGGTAGAACTGTTCTTGCACCTGATGATGACTGCTACGCTTTTCTTTTTGATAGAATGTTGAAAGGTTTTTATTGCAGTCTGTGTTCACACACACCATGAAGCTTCACACACACCATGGGTACCAGTGACCATCATCTCCTGTATTGAAGGTGATGGGAAATTTTAAACTTTGTGAAATTGAGTAGGAGGTGAGGTAAAATATTTTTCTGGGAACACTTCTTTGGTTGACAACTGTTGATAACTCTCAAAGAGGAGTTAACTCCTCTATTTGGAGAGACCTCATTCTGTTTCTTTGGGACAGGAAATACTTTCTAAAGGTATGGAGCAAAACAATTCATATGGGTGATATCCATTCCCTGGTCTAAAATAAATGTAAAGTCAAAACTTTATTTTCACAAAGACATTCCTGTGAATATCACACCAGGGTCTGTCCCTGAGGTTTTTTTCCTATGATGAGATCAGTGAATTGTCAAATTCACAAATTGTGAATATTTGGTGATCTGGCTAAATTTCTCTGTGGTCTAATGCAAATTTTCCATCTCTACTAATTGAAACCTTAGCAAGAGCATGTTAAATATCTTAAGATACTCATAGATAATCGATGCTCCCAATCTTATTTTTTTTTTTTTTTTGGCCAAACTGAGTGATGGTCTAGCACATTTTCTAGCACAATTATCAATCAGTTCATCAATTATTGCCTGAATTTCAGAAATGTGATTTGTTTTCAGACTGGACAAATCATCATAAAATGTTAGGAAATCAAAGATTTGCACATAACTACGTTGGCCTTGTGTTTATGCTGGCAATGCTACCTCACTAGAGATGATGGTCATTGACTGGAAAAAAAAAAAAAAAAAACACGGAGCCAGTGGTCTGTCCACATTGCATCACTAATGTTAGGATATACATGCCATGATGTTTAGGATATAAATATAAAGTTCAGTATTAAAAAATAATTTTCTGTATCTTTTGCAGGAGAAACTGACTCAGGAGTGTGTGTTTCGAGAACAATTTGAAGAAAACTGGTACAACACATATTCATCGAACCTCTATAAACACGCAGACACTGGACGTCGATATTATGTAGCATTGAATAAAGATGGGACTCCAAGGGAAGGCACTAGGACTAAACGGCACCAGAAATTTACACATTTTTTACCAAGACCAGTGGACCCAGAAAAAGTACCTGAACTTTATAAAGATATTTTAAGCCAAAGTTGACAAAGACCGTTCTTTCACTCGAGCCCTTAAAAAAAAAAAAAAAAGAAAAAAAAAAAAAGTAACCACTATATTAAATCAAATGGTTTCTCTGGTGGGTTCTTATTGGTTAGCTGGGTCATCACATCAGCTGCACTGTTGCCAAACTTTGTCGCATGCATTATGTATGATGGAGGCTTGGATGGAACATGCTGATTCTGTTCTGCACTTAACGGATTGTCCTCCTGGAGGAAAGGCTGTGCCCACTCGTGCTTGATTTATTACAAGGCAAAGAGCAAAATATTATTATATATATATAGAAGCAAAGGCAAAGAGGAATGAGGCCTGATGCATGCTGGGAAATAGACATGCTTTTAAATTTTTGATAACCCTTTAATTCATCATATATCAGCGTAGCTGCCATACTTCGGTTCATCAGGATTTTTGGCTGAAGGCCTGCTCAAGTTGTACTCTTCATTTATTAAGGCATGGATGGGTGCAGTCTTACTTAAAAATGACTTTCAGTTAATTGCTCATTGGTGCGCCATCTCACTGAGCATAAATCAAAGACCTCTCAGTAAGGAAAAAGAAGAAAAAAAAGAAACAAAAGGTTGAAAAAATACACTACAAAAAACTTAAATTTATTTATAGAAATTCCAAAGGCAACATTATATTTATTTTATATATTTTATTTATTATATAGAGTTTATTTTTAATGAAATATGTACAGGCCACATAGGCATTTTCGAAGCTTTAGGCTCTGTATGCATTACCTGTTAAAGGCCATTATGAACCTGTGGTAAATTCATGCAAGTTTATTATTAAGGTGCATGGATTATAAGTATGAAAAAAATTTGAAAAAATGTATGCCTCCCCCCCCCCCCCCCCCCCTCCCCCAAGGTGACAATCTATTCTGTGCCCATTACTTTTTCCAATACAATAAAGATTATAGTTTTAAAGGACTTCATAAAGTCAAATCCACATCCAGCTCTAAAGCAGTGGGAAGTCAAGGAAATCCATGCAAAAATGAGGCACTGTAATGGGTCCAATCCACTGCTTTTGAGCTGCACAATAAGCTCTTGGGAGTCTTGCTGTTACTTTGTGGTTTAAACCTCCAAACAAAACAGTAATGACTTCTGCTAGAACTGTGCAAAACCATATTGGCTTTTTTGTTTTCTATGTGGAACTCGCCTGTAGGACTTTTTTTTTTTTTTTTTTTTTTTTGTTTTCAGCATGATGTGGCTTGTATTACTTTGCAGACCTACCTCATCCTGAAAAATACATTGCTCATTACTCACTTTCATAAACAAACTCATATCCTTAATCAACCAATTTCGACAAACCCAGGCTTCCATTTTTTTATGCTGCAAAATTAAAAAAACTCTGTTTAGTAAGTAGCTTATATTGCTCCACCATGGTCAGATTTCCCTGTTGAAAGGCACCTAAGGTTTAATATATGCATATATAATCTACCTGTTTATTTTACAATCTGTTCCGTAATATGAAATGGTGTTTTTTGTTAAAAAAATTTCAAAAGAGCACGATATAAACACATTCTTGTCATAGCTAAATGCTCTGTGTGGTTAACATAAAAATGTAGGTGCCTTTTTCACAGCTATAAGAGGGATATGAGGACTAATGGGTGTCATAGAGCAGCTGCAGATAGTCCCATATTCTGGTTTAAGATTACATTTTTTTTTTTTTTTTTTTGGTGAGAACTAAAAGGTGAAAATCCAGGTTCACAGGATAACTCTTGTACGTAAATATGTTCCTTCATCTTCCAGAAAATGCAGCCTTCTTAGGGGTCAATGTAACATCTGTTAATGGAAAATGCTTTCAGCGTAAACTGTCGTACTACACTAGCACCCTAATTTTTTTTTTTTTTTTTTTCCAAATAACTTGCAAAATGAACCTAATAAATCTTTACGAATATCGACAAGGGGAAAAGTATTATACTTATTTATCTTTTTTTTTTTTTTTTTAAACTTTTTGTTTGTGTTTAAAAAAATTGTCTGCACATCACAAATTCTGGACTTAGAGGCAAGTTTGAAATGTGTGGTACGTTTTGAAAAGGAATAAAAAATATTGTAATATTTTTTAAGCAATAAGCATAGAAATAAATATTTATTTAAAATTGTTCTGAAATGTGTAGTTGGGCACAAAGTTATATCTTCATTCTTTCTGCAACATTGAGGTACAAATTTGTGGTCAATAGCACAACCAACATTTTAGTTTTCATTCTGACTGCATCAACTAAAATGAAAAAGGGAAGAAACGCACAACCTTAGGCGTGACAAAGCTGTGTGTGTGTGTGTCTACCTGTGTGTGTGTGTGTGTGTGTGTGTGTGTGTGTTTGGGGTTTTCAGTGCTAAAACATTGTAATAAAATTATTTAGAATATGTAAAAACAGCTTTTTTCAATAAGAAAAAAAAAATTATAACTTGTTGGATACAATTGGAAACAATTTTGAAATGGTTTGTAATGTATATTTATAGTTTAAATTAGATAAAAGCACACATGCTTCAAGAACTAGGTAATTTAATTATGCAATATTTGAGTTTTTACCTTCAAACAAACAAAAAAAAAAAACAATCGTTATGCTAGATTTAGGAAACATATGATCAATTACCTTATTTCTGTCACCAAGCGTAATAAAATTCCATTGTGCACTGGATACTGACTGTATTTCTAACCTAAAAATTATCAGAGTATAGTGTTAAGTCTCTGAAAATATAAAACACGTGGCCTTTTCATTGTTGTGCATTAGCTTCTCCTTTTTAGAATTGAAAAGTTACATTTTGATTCACAAAAGCTTTTACTACAAGAAACAGCTGAATTAACTGCATACATTTTTTTTGCTGAACAATATACATGTAAACATTTTTTCACAAAAATTATTTGGTACCTTTTAAGATAATGCTAGCTTCCGACTGCCATTAATTGTGAGGTTTTTTTTTTTTGAGGTTTCAAATAAGTAAGGCACATGAGTTATTATTGGTAGAGATTACTCAGGAAAAAAAATACATTTCATTATAAACACTAAAAAATGTTTAGTGTAAACACTTACAATGTTTAAATAATATTTTTGTGTGTGAACAGAGTATTTTTTTGAAGCATATTTTTTTAAAATAAAATATAGAACACCATTAAAATAACTTGTACTACTTGGTGAGCTGACCTGAACTTCCCTTATGTAATCACTCATTACATCAAACATGTGCTATTTAAAAATTACCTGCATTACCTAAAGTGTTTATCATTTTATATTGCTCATTAAATTAATCCTTATTTACAGTTTGAGCTCCACACAGTCATTTCAAATAGACCTTGCCGTCAGACACGCAGTGCAATGCACTCATGTGCTTTGCATTATAGTGTAGTGCCTGATATGCTACATGCGCATTTTTGGTGTGTTGGGCAGCCTATCCATTTAAATGATCTGACGTATCACAACATGCATTAATGCACTACAATAGTGTAAACAGGCCAAAAGAATAAACGAAGGAAGAAAAAAAATTATATATATATATATATATACTCTATCTCACAGAAGTGAGTATACCCCTCACGTTTTTGTAAATATTTTATTATAATGTGACAGCACTGAGGAAATGACACTTTGCTACAATGTAAAGTAGTGAGTGTACAGCTTGTATAACAATGTAAATTTGCTGCCCCTTCAAAATAACACACAGCCATTAATGTCTAAACCGCTGGCAACAAAAGTGAGTACTCCCTTAAGTGAAAATGTCCTAATTGGGCCCATTTTAGCCATGTTCTCTCCCTGGTGTCATGTGACTCCTTAGTGTTACAAGGTTTCAGGTGTGAATGGGGAGCAGGTGTATTAAATTTGGTGTTATTGATCTCACTTATACTGGTTTCTGGAAGCTCAACATGGCACCTTATGGCAAAGAACTCTTTGAGGATCTGAAAAAGAATTGTTGCTCTACATAAAGATGGCCTAGGCTATAAGAAGATTGCCAAGACTCTGAAACTGAGCTGCAGCATGGTGGCCAAGACCATACAGTGGTTTAACAGGACAGTTTCCACTCAGAACAGGCCTTGTCATGGCGACCAAAGACGTTGGGTGCATGTGCTCAGCGTCACATCCAGAGGTTGTCTTTGGGAAATAGATGTATGAATGCTGCCAGCATACAAGACTGTTGTGAATAGCCTTGTACCATGTGACAAGCTGTAACCAATCACAGCTCACACAGTATTTCTCAATGGCTGCAAGAATGCAGCCAGAGAGAAGGAAAAATGATTGCTTTTACAGCCTTTATGGGTGTAAAAGCAATCGGTGTAAAAAAAAAAAAAAAAAAAAATCTTCATCACCCCCCACAAGTAGTACAGTGTCACTATGGTGACACTGTACTGCTAGGGTGACAGTATGTAGTAAAAAAAAACCATAAATAATAATATAAAAATGTAAAAAATTTTTTTTGAAAAATTATAATTTTTGGTTATAAACTAATTTTGGGTTATTTTTTTTTTACTAAAAAGATAACTGAATACATTTTGGCCAAGATTTATGAAGAAAGATTATTTGCAAAATTTTTTAAGAAAAACACTTTTTAAAAAAGTTTTGGACTTTTTCATTTATATAGCAAAAAAAAAAAAATTAAATTCCCAGTGGTGAATAAATACCACCAAAATAAAGTTTTATCTGACTAAAAAAAAAAATGCTAAAAAATTCATATGGGTACAGTGTTGCATGATCGCGCAATTGTCTTTCAAAGTGTGATAGCACTGAAAGCTGAAAATTGGCCTGGACAGGAAGGGGGTAAAAGTGTCTGGACTTGAAGTGGTTAAAGCAGCAGTTTCATTGCCAATTACTGTAAGCTACAGTAGCCAGTACTGTTGATTTTAAGGCCTCAAGGTAGATTTCTTTGACCCTGGAAACACATGATGGCTATCATGGCTGAAATATGTTGGAGCTTTTATCCAAACAGATAACAAATACACTGCTGGAAGCAATGCAACCAAGAGAAAAGCTAATATCTATTGGATATTCCTATCGGATA